AAAAAGTAATATCTATCATGCACTTCGTAGAAGGTGAAGAATATATAGAGATTGTCAGTTAGAAAACAAAAAGCATTCGGTGTATGAAATCGAGCTTCTTCAAAAAGCCATTTATATAAAGTCCAGCTTGTGGATCTGTGACAGCTTGCAATTCGATTAGAAAAACGTTTTCCAGGCGGGGAAACAACTTCTTTCGTTATTTATTTAACGAGATCAATTTATCCGAGGCCAAGAGCCAGTTAAAAATTACAAAAGACAATCTTAACAGACACAGAAAAAGTGTGTCCCTGGAACGCTAGACGACCTGAGAGGATGTCGTGCAATCGCTTCTTAATTTATGGCGGCGAGATTCAGTCTGTTTTCGATACAATAAATCAGCCGTTGTCGCGAGAATTCGCAATTTTATTTACGAGATCGACACNAAANGATACGAGACAAGCCCGCGCCGCGCATTTCTACGTNAGATGACTGCATAATTTGTAGCTTGTAACAATTGCGCGACAAATATATTCTTCTGGAATTGAACGGCACGCGATATTTTATTGTTCATTGCTACGAAGGTGTAACTAATTGGATCAATGCAAGAATCATGACTTTTTGTCGCGAAACGCTAAAATAATGGAACGTTAATATTTTATTCGCGTAACACAGATAATTGTGCTGAGAAAGAAAAAACAAGAGGAGCGAGAGAGAGAGAGAAAGAAATATCATCAGATCCATAAATAACGATTAGTACGTGTCTGTCATAATCCTGAAAGGACGTAATTATGATACGATTGAACCAATAGAATATTAATCGCGCGATTACTTTTTTATCAAGTCTAATAGTCTTTAAATANTTGCGTAGAAATAATTTCAAAAATAATTATTTTTTATTTTATATTATTTTTGTATACGTATACATATAAAGTATCATAGCATTAATGTAACGNACATTAATTGCTGCTTCTCTTTCCGTACAAAAATATCATTTGCGACTATTATAATTTTAATGACATGGTTATATGCAATATACGAAGAAAATTGTTTTAATGAATTTTAATGTGATATGAAATGAGAAATATANATTTTTTTAAGTATAGAATTCCGGATCAGTGTCATCATATACGAAATTGTTACAACATACGTGTATGGTGTGATTAATATTTGTCTCTTAAAATAATTTCACACAGACACGCACGCACAATATTCAAAACTGACCGTATAAAACTCGCAGATAATGATTAAAACTTGTTTTATATCTGATATACACAATGTGAAAAATTTGCAAGTATAAGTATTGTTTTTTTTTCTTGTAATGAGACATTGAGCGCATCATCAAAATCTTATGCGTTTTTCTCGCAAAATATCGTATATGTTTATTCTGATATATGTTACAAACACATATATGACATTTCGATATCTCCTCTCATTTTTCCCNCTTCTTTCTTTCTCTCTGTTTCTCTCTTCTCTTTTACTCCGACTCAAAGTTACCTTCAACTTAAAATAGGCGCGTCAGGTTTAATTGCTGCCTGTTTCATGCAATGCTGGTCGTTAGAGCCCCTCGACGCGTCGTTTTATTAAGCGGCCTCGTCAAAATGTAAATTAAATGCTTTAGATACGCGCGAGCACGTACTTTTTAGTAATTAACGTTCGCGAGCTGCAAAGACCCACTTCACATGCGGGAATCGCAGTCGGCGATCCCCTTTCTCGTCGCGTCGCCATTTCATTTGTTATATGTGATTACGGCACTCGTGATCGTGTTGTGTTTACGATATTATTAGAGAAAATATAATTTATATTATTGCCGCGCGGACNTTTCGTCAATTTGCCGGTCGTGCTGGTCGGACTAGATATCAGAATTGTAAATGCATCTCGTGTGCGATGTATTTTCCATTTGTGCGTATAACGCACGGTGTTTATTTTTGACACTTGTCTTGTGATATTCGAGCACAAAAATTCCATTATTCGGGAGTTTTTCACAATAACGTTCTGAAAAGCGAACGTTTCAGTGTTCTTTTTTTTTTTTTTTTTTTTTCTGTATGGCGTGAAAAGCCGAAATATACAAAATGTCTGTCATTGCGCAATTTCTAGTGTGTGTTCTTGCTCAGCGTTTTAGAGCGTGACAACTCCTGATATCGTATCATGGAAATGTAGCTAAACGGTCAAGCGCGTCTGAAATCGATATCTAATTGACGTTGCAAGTGGCGCAAATGGAGATAGATGATGATTTATAAATCAGACAATTTTATACGCAAAATATGTTTTTTGATGTAAAATATTGTGAGTGTTCTCATTGGATTTTCAATGGTTGATGAATATGTGTAAAAAAATGGCAGATCAAAGAATCAATTGCAGGATATAATTGCAGATATAAATTCAAACAAATGTTTTGAAATGTTTCGAGTTTAGCATTAAGTCATTATCAGTCGATGAAAAACGTTTGAATCAACAATCACTTTATAAGAAATTATAATACGTTGCAAAGTATGCTACATAATTTAATGTAAAATGTCTTAATCATATCTAATTTAATCTAAATGTTAAATTATTAAAATTAAAGTAAGTACTATGAAAAGTATAACAAAAACATGTTTTGTTGAGAAGTTAAGACTAGAACTGTTTAAAATATTTGATTATTGGAAAGAAAATCGCATATTACATAAAAATGTTATTTTTTAGTACTGAAGGTGTAGCGACGTTTTGTTATGTGATCCTTAAAAGTAAGAAGAGAGATTTAATTATTTTTTATAAACTTTTTACCGAAGACATACACTGTTAAATAACCTTATTGTGCAAATCCTTTCTTTCTTGATGTACGTACTATAGAAATTTCTTTTGTGTGATGTACGTACTGTAGAAAATAAAGAATACGCTGAGAAATCAGTATTGTTTGCGAAGAATTCTTAAGGTTTTCAGTTCTCTTAAAATGCAAGAGTTACAAATCAACTTTTTCAATAATGGCATCTCTCGAATCTGAAAGCGGTCATATCTCTCAAAGCTCGCGTCTAATTATTTATCTTTGACCGTCCGGCTTTCGACGAATTTTATTGCAACTGCGTGAACAAGGTTACTCCTCACAGAGAATTTCGTGGAACGCGATATTGCAATTCCTCTGACGAATAGCTGACGATTCAAGCTTTGATTAAAAGACTGAAGCATATCCAGATTTTTCAGTGGTTTTCGACAAGAATCGTTCTCACTTTAGAACGAATGTATTCTGACCGTTCATTGGATTCTGTTTGATTTTTTCAGCCACAAATCAAACGTCAGACAATCATTGTGCGTTGATCAGCATCGTTTCTACTTGCTAATCTCAAAAAAAAAAAAAAGAGAGAAAGAAGAAATCTCATGTAACTTTTTTTCTTTTTTTTGTACCACAAAATTCAAAAAAGAGTCTTTTTTAATACACCAAGGAAAATATATACTTATTTAATTTAATAGTTTAAATAATTCGTAATTTTTTATATTTCTTAATTATTGAGTTTTTTTTAAATTAAAGTAAACGTTCGGTATATATTTGTTCATTGGTAGAACATTATATATTTATATATTTAAGACTTGTGTCTTTAACATTTAATATACTGTAGCACTTGTTGTTGACAGAATGTGCTAAAAAGGCATTAGAAGGGTTAAAAGATTAGGCGAAAATTTGGTAGGACCTATCAGAAAGGTTTAGGGGAATATTGGAGATGATATGGGAGTAGAAGATGGAGATCCCCTAATATCATTTCGTCCTGTCACCGGCAATCCTNCGTAACGTCCTCTCGAATCGAACTGAGATAATCTGACTATAAAGTAGGTCGCGTTTCAGTGTTCGTAGAGCTTGTCATTGGCTCTTGTCGTAATTTCAGATGACATATATCAGAGACATGTGTTCTCTTGCTTGCGCAGAAGACTGTGATAAGTTATTATTTTTCATCTGTACGAGAAGGATAATTTTTTTATGTTCTTGCAATTTAATCTTATATCCGTGCCTGACTTTCGATTGACTTAAACTACTTACTTTATCTCTTTGTATCTGTCTGATCTAAAATATAGCACATTTATTAATAATTATTAACAATGTTAGCAATATTTATTAAAAGTTTACGCTTATTATTGATACATGTCAATTAAATAATCTTTACATGTTGAACATATTTAAACAATCTTTATGAAAACTTAATTATCTGCAATATTATTCATAAAAGCGCTTTTATAAGAGAGTTTTATTATTTCTTTTTAAAAAACTTTTCAGCAATAACTAAATTTTAATAAAACAGTTTCTTTTCGCGTGCGATTAGAAACGTTTCTCAGACTATTTCGTTTATATAGGTAACGACTTATCAAGTTTGTCGTGAAAGCGGATTGTCAGTATCTAATCGCAACCTGTCAGAAAAATTATTATCGACGAATCTTCCAGATCTTCGAATGAAATTGCTTTCTCCCTGCGACAATCTAATTTATTTTCAATTGTTGCTTTTGTATGTTAGGTACGATGCGCCGGAATACGAGGTGCCCAGGAACAAGTCCAGATACAGAAGTCGGTTCATGCGACATCGGGACGGCGACGATTCTGACGGCNATTCCCGATCGACGGTGAGATTTACGGCGCCGCAGGAATCGTCCGGTTTGCGGGAACGCGTTTTAGACACGGAAGACGCNGCGCGTGGGCCTCTATCCGGGATATTTCGTCTGACCGACTCTCCACGAGTCATGAAGAAATTNCAGGAGTGNGAACGGGCTGGCAAGCGAAAGAAAGATNAACTATCGAGTCAACCCGTGCAGCAATCTCAACCACCTAAACCTCAGGTTAGAATAGCATGCTTTTTTGAAAAGAATTTACGTATGTACAGCGCGTTCTGAAGTGAAAGAATCTGTTATTTGTCGGATCGAGAAAATTTAAATATACATTAAATATTAATTAAATATACAGATACGATTAAACTGAATGTGTGTTTAAATTAAGACTCGATCCATTTTGGCGCGCGCTCTTTGTGAATATCATATTTAATAGATATACATATTAAATCGGAAATATAATTCAGTGATATACAGCATTTTGCCCTGAAGAAAAAACATTTTGTTGATAATCGCAAAAACGTATGCATANANNTTNNNNCANNT